AGGAACTCTTTTCCCCCCCTTGAGTCGTTTGCCCCCCTAGAGATGGAGTACGCATGCTCCGAGTCCTCGGCGCCGGCCTCCCGGAAGAGCCCCGCCACCACTTCAGGCACCGGTTCATCGGAGTCCTATGACTGTTAATTCCAAGCGCAACGGTAAGCGCGCCGCGTTAAAACGCACCCCCCCTATCTCAGCGGCCCTTGCCGCTCCTACAACCTCCGCAGCCCCCGACGCTGCCGCCGTCCCACTTATGTCACTAGACATCCCAACTCCGACAAAACCATCCTTTCGATGTGCTCCAGTCCTTGCTAAGAAGCAAGTCCCGCCCCCCTGTCTTCCTAAGAGACAAGGCTCAATTCACCAAGTTATCTAAAACCTGTTACGACGCCGGCATCAAGTACGACCATGCCATCAACCTCGGGGAGGCTATTAAAATCATCCCCAACTCGATCGAGGATTTCCGCCAACTCACCAGGCTATTCACAGCCGAACGAGTCTCTTATCACACTTACGCTCTCCCGGAAGAGCGTAAAGTCAGGGCCGTCATCTGAGGCGTCCCTTTCGAATTTTCCAACGAGGAAATCCTTGAGGACCTTAAGTCCCAAGGTTTCCCCCGTAGAAGCCGTGCATAAAATGCACAGTAGAACGGGCAAGAGGTTCAACCTCGCCCTTGTCATACTAACCAACGTGCCGGAGGCAAAAGCCATCTTCCGGCAGGTACGCACAGTGTGTGGCCTGTCGAGAGTGAAGGTTGAGCCCCCACATAGGCCCGGATTCCCGGCGCAGTGCCCCCGCTGCCAACTATATGGTCATGCGGCGGCCAACTGCTCCGCCCTACCCAGGTGCGTTAAGTGCCTCGAACCCCACAACACTAAAGAGTGCCCCCCGGCCCAAAGACGCCGAATCCCCGCCCGCATGTGTCCTGTGCAAACAGACAGGCCACCCGGCTAACTACAGGGGCTGCCCCCGCGCACCTCAACCTCGCCCCAGTAGGCAAGCTCCACCGCCGGTCAATGACCGCTCATTCCCGGCCCTCTACCAACGGCCCCGTCAGGGCCTTTCTCAGCCCATCCAGGGCTTCTCTCGGCCCTCTCAGGGTCCCCCTAGGCCCCCCTCAGGGCATAATTCGGCCCCCTCCGGGCTTCTCCAAGCCTATGCAGCCTCCAGTCCTTCCCTGGGGCCCCAAAAAGGCAGACTCACCGCGGACAACCTCCTACCCATGAATCAGAGCCCACAGCTGATGACTACAATACACTGTATTGCGCTATTAGGAATATTGACATCAGGGAAATCACTGTAGTAGCACGCAAACTGCGCGCTGCGAAGTCTCCCCAAGAACGTCTCCTCGCTCTTACAGAGCATCATAATCTTCTGTTAGCGTTGTAAGTTAAGTTAACTTAATTAACTTAACTTCAATGACAGAGCAGTTTGCTCTACCAAAATCTCACGGTCGTATCAAACCTAAGGGTTTATCGCTTGTATCTTTTAATATTCGCGGCTTGCGAAATAACCTCGCAGAGCTTAAGCTCTTTCTTCGGAATCGTGAAGCCGATTTCCTCCTCCTACAGGAAACTAATCTCAAAACTAAGGACACTAAAGGCCTTTCTATTAAAAAATTCTCTCTTCTTCGTAACAACAGACCCGACCGCCGAGGCGGCGGAACGGCCATCTAATACAAGAAGACACTTCACTGCTCGCCCATTTCTACTCCGCAGCTTATCAACATGGAAGCCACGGTATGCAGGCTAGCTATGACTGGACATCAGTCCATCCTCATAGCCTCCTGTTACATCCCTTCATGGAACCCATCCCCTCAAAAAAGATTTTGAGGCCATTTTATCTTTAGGCAATTCAGTCATTATGTTTGGATATTTTAACTCACAGCATACTGAATGTACATGCCGTACTACGTCCCCTAGTGGCAAGATACTGCTTGACATCACGAAGTCTCTTGATATTACCATCCATAGTCCCCTCGGTGTTACTCACTTTCCCGATAACATATAGATTTAGAGTTTCTCTCAGAAATAATAGTCTCCCTCATTCTTGGCCATCAGCCACCTCCACCAACACACACGAAAACCTTCACTAATTGGAAGGGATTCAAGGAGTCCCTAGCTTAAAGCTCTGGACTCACAGGACTCTACCATCTCCCTATCGTCGGACTTAGACAGTCCCGAAAAAATCGACACCGCGTCGATTCACTCTCCACCCTTATCAAATCCTCCCTTAAGGAGAACGAAAGGGTCGTCCCGGTTGCTAACAATAGTGGGCTTCCCCTACATATTAGCAACCTATTAAAAGCCAAAAAAGCTGCTTTCCGGAGAGCAGCAAAATATCCCACCCCCGAATATAGGCGCGCGGCCAATCGTCTTCAACGAGAACTCCGTTTCCGCCTTTCTGAATTTCGAGACCTCGAAAAGAGTAAACTCATGGAGAATATCTCTCCATCTCATACAGCTTACTATCAGATGGCCAGAGCCCTCCGCATAGACGCTATCACCCACACTCCCCCCTCTGTCCCGTCCCGACGGCACGGTTGCCTTCGAGGACGAGGAAAAGGCTGAGTGCTTTGCAGATAGCATTGCCGCACAATGCTCTCCTAGCTCTCAACCCGTCGATCCCTCACACGTCCAGGCAGTGGAGGATGAGGTCCGCCGCCGGAACTCACCCTCTACGGTCTCCGAACCTATCTCTGTGTCCAATGATGAGATTTCATCCCTCATCAAAGGACTTAAGCCTAAAAAGGCCCCGGGCGCGGATGGCATCTCTAACCGAGCCCTAAAACACTTTGATTGGAATTCCCAAGCCAGGCAAGCCTCTCAATCTCCCCTCCAGTCATTGCCCCATTAGCCTCCTCAAGGCAATGGGCAAGCTCTTCGAAAGAGTCATCCAAATACGTATGAGGCGCTATCTGTTTCCCACAGACGGTGACCCTCTTATCATTCCCCATCAATTCGGTTTCCGAGCGCAACACTCATGTCCCCAACAAGTCCACCGTATTGTGGAATATATCCTCAGCGGTTTTTATCCTCGTCGTCATAAGACCATCGCGGTCTTTTTCGACATAGCTAAAGCTTTCGATAGAGTCTGGCATACAGGCCTTATCTACAAACTCTACAAAATAGGTCTCCCCGATCGTCTAGTACGTCTCGTGGCCTCTTACTTAAAGTATCGTACCTTTCGTTTTAGACACGAAGGCACGCTATCCTCACAGCGAACTATAAAAGCTGGTGTCCCTCAGGGCTCAGTACTTGCTCCTCTGCTGTACATCCTGTTCACCAACGACATTCCCATCACGTCGAAAGGTGTTCAGCTCTCCCTCTTCGCAGACGACACTGCTATTTACTGCAAAGTATCTCACTACCCTTCATACGGAACAAGATTCAAAAGTCAGTTGATGACCTAGGAGCTTGGTTCAAAAAATGGCGCATCGATGTGAACCCGGAGAAGAGCTCCGCCGTTCACTTCGATTATAAACGACGCCGTCTCAAAAACGCTCCACCAATACGTATGCTAGGGACCCCTGTCCCCTGGCATACGACCGCCAAATATTTAGGTGTCACTCTAGACACAGGGCTCACTTTCAGGCCCCACGTCAAAAGAGTAACCCGTCACGCACGGTTTTATCTGAGTAGGCTCAACAGTATGTTGGGCCGACACAGTAAAATGTCCCTTAGAAACAAGCGTACCCCTTATAAGGTCTGTATACGACCAGTCATGTCCTACGCGGGCCCCGTTTTTGCCCACGCCAACCCTAAAGTTATTAATGAACTCCAAATAGTTCAAAACCTTTTCTGTCGTCGAGTGCGAACGCACCTTGGTACGTCCGTAATGCTGACCTTCACCGGGACCTAGAGCTCCCCACAATTCAACAATTTCTCCAAAAACTCTCTGAGAACTTCTTCAAAGCCTCAGAGTCGCACTCAAACCATTTAATTCGTGAGGCAACTACTTATGCAGCCCCACCCCCCTCTCGCTATCGAGTCCGCAGGCCGAGAAACTCTCTCTCGGACCCGCCTAATAAACTAACAAACGACCTGAACTGCCTCCTGGCGGCTCGGGCTAACTCTAATTAAATTAAACTATTACTCACTCATAATTAATTTGCCTTCGTAGGCACTCCCTCAGCGGCTCGTAGTCGCCTGCGCCCTCTTTTCCCAAAAGAGGGTCGCTCACGATAAGGCACAATAAAGCTTAATCAGCCAGTTGCCTGTCCCTAAAGGCGGTTTTTAGAGGGTATCACTTAGGTCCCCGGTGGGATGTGAGTCCCTCATAACCACGATAGACCGGTTATCGTGGTATGCGTAATGCATTTTCCGCCTCCCTACGTATAGGGTAGCCCTTTATTTGCTTCGGGCGCAAAAAAAAAATAAAAAAAACTATAAAGAGACTATCGGTTCGTGGGGCCCACGTGCAGTGATATTTCTAAAGGAACTGTATCCACGACTGGTCGTCGCTGCTGGTGATAAGAGGGCTGGTTCTTTCCTCGTTCAAAGGCTAAGTATTTCAGGAGGAAACGAAGTGTTCTGGGCACTATACCTACGGGGAGCAGATCTTTTTGACTATTAAAATTTTTAGTTTTAGATTTTCTATATAATAGTTTCTTCTTTTATATTGTATATAATTAGTTTTAATCGTAAATATTATAATTTTAATTATATAGTTAAGTACATTATTATAATTTTTATAATATAAATGAATACATGAAAAAAAAGTAAAAAACAACCGAGCTATTGCAATGTTTTGTAATGAGTATAACCCTATTCCACTTTTAGATAAGGTGTGAGCAAACAACCTGCACGGAAACCACTTGAAAATTGTGTAGATATCTCAATTCAAAGATCGATTTGTCAACACTAGATATCACTTTTATCTCAAATTTATCTAGGACGTTGCAGAATCTTCAGTTCTTCGACGATGCAGCTCTTTTACCGATGGTTAAAGGATTTATGTGAACGTCGGTATATTTAGTTTCTGTGTCGTGCCTGTTTTTAATCGAGATGTTTATCAGCTCTTATAAATTAAAGGTAAGCTTGTAAATATTGATACGTTCGTTAATTGTACTCTTTTTATCTTCACATAAAATTTGCTAGCACATTTTTACTATGTTTTACAATTTTATACTCGTTACAATTTTAAATGCTGTTTTGAAACAATTTGACTGTGTTGTCATCGTTACATGAATATTGTTGCTATTTTATATAAACCATTGACTTATATATTACTGGATGTAAACACAATTATTTGAAACACGTTACTATTTCTAACGCCTTTATTAAATTTCAAATAGTACATTTTACTATAGTAATATAATACAAGTATTATATATAGGTAATAAGATATTTAATATTAGTTACTAATAATGTTTGCAATTATTTCTGCTACCTGGTGCTAAAAGGGCCAAAGTACATTTTTTAAGAAATGAGATATTAAAGCTATATTATTGAAAAATATGAAATTTATTTGTGCTAAAAGGCCGTACGTTTATTGATAGTCTTTCAAAAGATACTATGTAAAAAAGGCCAATGTAATGTGTACTTCCATACTTTTTAATAAAATAAAATATGTGCTACTGTACAGTACTGTACTGTTTAATAAAAACGTACTTTGGCCCTTTTAGCACCAAGTCACAGATTTATTTTAATTTACTTAAAACTATAGATATAGCGTATACCGTAAAACACGCACTTTTGAATATTAAATATTAAAATTTTATTTTCTTAATTCAAAATGGGAATATTGCTTTTATTCACTAGTTAGAGAGTTGCACCTAGTGAATTATTGTGCGAAATTTACGTCATTTAAAATAATGTTACTGTTTTTTTTAATTTTAGAGCTGGTTTAAATGGGCTCCACTTCGTGCGCATCTCTGTACCTTCGCTGTCGCCGTCAGCTTTAGTAGCACGTGGCGCGCCCCACGAAATGCCTTTCGATATGGAGGTCTCATGTACGGGCTCGTACTTACCGTTGCTATGGTGGTCGTGGCTCTTCCTACTACGATGCTACAACTAGCCCTTGGTCAGTTGAGCCAGCAAAATGCTGTTGGTGTCTGGAGTGCAGTGCCTTTCTTTAAAGGTAATAAATATATTTTCGTTTACCCATTTCATTATTAAATAACTAGCTTGGGTTTCGCTCGGGTGGGATCTGTTAATGTGGCGTTATTTAGAATTATTGAAATAATAATCAATCACCATTCATTTTAACAATATTTAAATAAAATGTAGCATAGATCACTTCTGTCATTGCTCTTATCCGTTAGTGAAGTTTCATTACGGTTGGTTCAGCCATTCAAAACATTAGTCGGGCCTGAACAGACAAACGGCCAGATCAATATTAGAAAATAAAAATTTTACATGTCATAATTGCATGCAAATAACCAATGAGATCGATAAAATGCAGTTATATCAATACTACTGAAAGGCTGAATATCATTCAGGCCGCTAGTTAAACGGCGCTTTTTCACCCTATGATACGAATGGCCTAAGCATTAGCCAGCCAGTTTATTAAATATTGTAAGATACGCTACGGCTGAATATAATTTAAGCAGCTAGTTGAACGGCGCCGTTTAGTTAAAAGGCTAGGCTGTTAACTGAAAGGCTGATTAAGCTAGTCAGCTGCGTAATGCATATGCTATGTGTTGGGAGCTTTAAGAGTTCATCACTGTATGTCATCTCGTAGATGTCGTAGGACAAGACTATGGGAAGTTTTAGAAAATTTCTATGTCTGCCGCTAGATGGGAGTATAACCAACTTATTATGCCAGACTTATAACAAGGCTACGTCGGTCAGCAGCGTAAAAAGAGCGTGACATCTGGGACTGCGTTTGTTAATTCGTCCACCAGCACGACGATTAAGGTAAATTCTTTCTACATTGCGACATGTCCATATCTAGCAGTGGGCTTTACAGACTGATGAAAATGAAGATGTAACGTATGTGAGGGTAATATGGTCATGCAGTTAATATGGTCACTTTCTTATAACGCAAAACCTACATCCTTGTTTGCATAAATGGATCTGTGATACAACACATGGCCTTTTATCACTCAATAAAATAATAAAAGGTCGTAAGGGCGCTGCCTTGTCGACATTATAGTATTGATATTATAGTAAATATTTTAGTCAATTTTATAATTGTGGCGGCAAAGCTAAAAGTAACCATATTACCCTCACGTTACTCACGTATCTTAGATAATAAACGTATACTTAATACAAAAACAATATATGTAGACTTTCGAAGAAGGGTAATAAAACTCGATAGTCATTGGTTTCAGGAGTCGGATACCTAAGGCTCCTCATCTCTATGCTTGAATTGGTCTACACAATTGTGTACGTTGCATTAACTGTAACATATTTTATGTACACTTTGAGCAATTCGATTCCATTCTGGGAATGTCAGTACGTCGTTGTGCCGGTAAGTACAAAAATATTTATTTATAGTCTTATTTATTATAGCGCCCAAGTCTATAAGCCTCAGCGAAAGGAATACTATCTGCGTTCTATGACTATAACGCGTCTTAATAAGGTGGCCAACTTTATGAAAAGTTTAACATTGTGAGATCAGCATTTTTGTTTATCCGTACATTTTTTTGTAATATCAAGTTGACGTAAAAGTTTTCACATCTTATTTTTTTTCTTCACCCGGGCGGGGTTCGTCTAGTCCCTTTCCTTACTTACTTTTTTTATTTTTGTGTCCCGCCTCCCCGGCAAGTGGGGGGTGTGGGGCTGTTTTTTCACATCTTATAAACAAAGCCATTGATGATGACGAAATTCCTCCTCCTTTTTCTTTTTAAGTTATTTCCACTGTGATTTACGACAATACTGAAATGGCGGATTCGAATGCCCGACTTTTTAGTTTCGCGATCGCGACTTTGGTGCAATCAGAACACATTTAAACCTGAAAACCAACAATACAGCAATAAAGCAATTGATTAAAGACATATATGAGATACCGAAATGTGAATACCATAAAAAACGACGGTATCACTAGGCTGAAGTGTCAATGGGTCCACTCCATACCGTGAAGGAACAATAAGCGATGCGTGACACTTGTGGCAGTCCCGTAATGACATGCACAGTGGTAGGCAACCTCCTCCTTTCAGGCTTCGCATTTTACTGGACGATCGCATTACCTGATTTGACACTGCTCCTCGTAGAACAGGATATTCAATGCCTGGCATTGTTAACAGCTTAACGAGATAGGTGTAAGGTCTTCTACCGGAAGCCTTAAGATTGATTGATTATTTATTTATATATTATTCTCTATATATTTCTTAAGTGTTTTTTTGATAATTTAATATTAATTTTCAGGACGACAACGACACGTATATTGTAAACGCAACGTCGTGTTTCAAGTAAGTAGCAGCAGTTTGCATGTATACTCTTCTTAATCATTTTTGTTCTCCTAAAATTGTCTCTCCATATTTATCCATATTTCTTTAGATCTAGGAATGTGTGATTGACGAAATGCACGCTGCACAAATAGAAAGATTGCTCAAGCACTTTTTTTAATTTAGAGCTGGTTTAAATGGGCTCCACTTCGTGCGTATCTCTGTACCTTCGCAGTCGCCGTCAGCTTTAGCAGCACATGGTGCGCCCCACGAAATGCCTTTCATTACATTCATACGCTTGGCAGGCATGTTGTTGAATGTAGAGTCTAAACCGCCTAGAAATACTTATTATAATAACCACTCTTTGTAGTTGAAGTTCGTGTTTGTGAAAGGATATGCTACTATTACGCGCTCATTGGTTCGCATCGTACAGATCGTATTAAACTATTTTTAGAAATCTGTGTATAAGTAAACAAGTGCGTCCACTGACACTGACGGACGAACTGCACGCACTGGTCCGTCGGTAATGACATCATAATTTCTCAGAGTGAGAGTGAGATGTGTGCTGATAACATCATACGTATTACAGATCAGTGGACGCACCGCCGCTAGTTGTGAAAGTTTGATATTATGTATCCATATGTCATGTTTTTTATCTTTCTTCTTCTGCCAACAAACAAGCAATCATGACCAGTTCTATTTCATCACTTTCAATTTTTTCTTGCACACACGTTTCCCGCTCGTCCGCTCGCTATGAAAAATCGAATACTATTGTATAAAAAATCAATTGTAAATGGCCGTTCGATTGCGGATACAGTGGATGCATTACCACAACTGACACGTTTGATACGAGTCATCCGTTTCGTACAATGCGATGCATGTACGAAACGGGACATGTTTGTATATGGACGCGTACTTTTAGTTCGTTGCCAAGCCTCGTTTTTAACTACTATTTAACGGTGCTTGTCTGCTAGGCCACCTGATGGTAATTGATGAAATAGCTTAAGACGGTAAAGTGCACTGGTGCCCGCGCCCGAAGTCAATAATATTGATGTATCTGGTCAATTTATGCCGATCGCATTGTCCAGCATCGGCGACGCATCTTTCATATGTCGGCCTTATAAACTTTCGATGGTAGTTTTTGCGGACTTAATAATAGTTTTACAAACACGTACTCACTCTTGCCTTGAAAGCATACACATTGTAGTCGGATAGAATGACAGATGCTGGAAAATTATCCCCTCCATTTTTGTGCGCATTACAAATGTCGCAGCAATCTGTCTAATTCCATTGCACCAGGTAATTGAATTAAACGGATTGCTGCGTCATTTGTACAAAAAACTGGCCGAGCTCCTGGCTTTTCGATGGTGGAAAGAAGAAGTAGATATTCGATTACTATCTGGGTGTCTTCATGACAAGAGTGAATAGGCTTTTGTTACTCTAAGACATTGCGATAAAACGTTTGTGGCTTCATGACCACTAGGTGGGATTATAGTCAAGTTCCGGCTTATAATATGTAAAAAAAATTAGTGCATGCAGTCATGCAATTTCCGCTCACCCTCAGAAATATATAAACACAACGAGTAGTTGGCTACCTTGCGTCTGCGCTAGAGACGGTAACGTTAACCAGATTGTTGTCACAAATAGCTTCTCAACACGTCTTTCCATTATGTTCAAGGCCGCTAAGTAGCATTTTGCAATACCAGTTCATCAATTATAAGTGCCCGATGGGACTTGCGCTTTATATAGAGTAAAGCAGCTGACACGGCGTAAAGTACCTCCCATCTTTGCAAGGACAACTAATTTTCTTGCACCAGCTTTGGCACTAGGGTGAATGAGACACTTAGAGTTGATACTTGAGTTGAATTTTGAAGAAATTTCAACCCTCAACAACTTAAGGCGGTTGGTGTATGCCAATAAAACATTAATTGCAAGCTTGCAAGTAAGGCGGTATGTAAGGTGGAACGTCTCCCTAAACGCAGCTATTGTTAAGAGTAGTAGGTAACTAACTTAACCTGTTTCAGTGAGACATTCCTGGCGCCGGTCAGCGAAAAACCAGAATATTATGTCGCGTTGGCGATGATTGTTGCAGTGCTTTCAATGGTGTTTCCTTTTGTGTGAGTACTAATTTTATTAATGTCCCTTTGTTAAATACTCATAATGAGGGTGTATGTATGCTGTATCAGTAGTCTGAATGCGTTAGACGTCAATACTGACCTTTGGCCTAAAATTTAGAATTTTATGTACCTTATATATCCCATTGTTTACGATTTATTTAATTTTAATGAAGTACTAAAATATTTGTCAATAAAGCTATTAAAAGTCTCAAAAATCTTAAAAGTAGCTGCCATTGAATCCTTTTAAGAAAGCAACTGTGATAAAGAAGTACACATAATGATTTATTATATTTACGCGAACACTACACATTTAAATAGTACTAGTTTTTACGGAATTTATCGCGTATATTTAACTTTTTAAATAGCCGACGTTTCGACTTCCCGGAGTAGTCTGCAGTCTGTGAACACGTACATGATCGCCCCCGTCACTACATCAGATTTGATAGACCCCAAATCCTCGCTAAAGAACACCGATTCCTTCCAAGGATGATTCGCGAGGCTATTGAAATCAAAAAACATCCTAATTTCAATAGAGAAGATGGCTGGGTGCTACCATCTGCTTGGGATCCTATAATAAATAAAATTAAATCCCAACCCAAGCATACAACTGCAAGACTTCAAGATACCATAACTTCATACTGTATAGATCGGAACAAAAGTAAAATTTTAATCTATGGTAACCGCGGTTAACTATGACATATGGATGTTGAGCATCTCAGTCCCGCCCGTGACCATGAGTGCTGTAAAGCGTTCGAAACGTCGGGTATTTAAAAAGTTAAATATACGCGATAAATTCCGTAAAAACTAGTATTATTTCAAGAAGTACACAGTTCACCTGATATGTGTATGCCGTGGAACATTACAACTATTTTGCGTTGTCACCCATGAAGCACTAAGATAGAAAACCTCATTACCAGTAAAAGTGTATCTGCATATACACTCACCATATGGAACAACAGCATTAGGCTGATGTTTTATGGTGGTATTCTGTGAAAGCGTGATTCATCTCTGATTGAGTCGATTCAATTATGTTATAACCATAACGTTGCTATTGCATGATTTGCCACAATACCATAATATAGATGCGAACCAGAAACCTCAAGCGTCCGATTCAGTCGACGCATGTTTGGCATTTGGAAAACTTGCAACCTACTAATTATACGGGGTAAAGCTAACCTGCAGCTATATTAGTTACAACACGATGAGTCGGCTCGACCGAGGCAGGACCACGCTCTCACAGAATGCCAGCGTAAAATAGCAGCAAAATACTGTTGTGTTTCGTATGGTGTGTGTAGAGAACCGGAGACCCTTTTCTACAGGAAACGGGGCATTCCATTTTAGTCCTCAGGGGTCAAACATCTGCATTTTGATTCTTAATCGAGGATAAATGTACACACCACTGCTTCCACTTACCATATTTATAGTCTTATTTTCAGGTGGACTATGTGTTCGGTTGTCATCCTAATTAAATAATAAAAACACATCCCTTTAATTTTTATTAATTCATTACAGACTATAAAGAGTCTATTACACATAGTCTTCTCCTATATATTGCCCCACTGGGGGATATTTTCTAGAATTGCCATGCTTAATAAATTCAGCGGCCTGGAAACCGCTGAATTTATTACTTTGGTTTGTTATCAAAAAGATGCTGCTGCTTATCTCCTGCTTCAATTTCCCTTGGTCGTCTCCTACGACATCCCCGGGACGATGTGGGGATATATTGTTATACTGCAACTACACAGTTAACACTCAAAATTGCAGTATACATTTTCGTCGCTGCTGGTTGGGATCTTACTCGGAGTGTTCGCTTGAATTTTTGGCAAGCGTTTATCTCCTGAGTTAATGTGACTAGGCTGCTTGTTATGTGTTATATCATCATTGTTTGTTTCAGGTTATTTAGCCAATTAAAATTAATGAAACGAATATTTTACTTGATCGGCCCTACGGTACTAATATTAGGCATTATAATCTTGTCGTCCGTTGGAGACAGAAGTAATTTTATATCATTGTACGATCACGATGACTTACAAAATTTAATGACGCCCAGTTTTTGGCATGGGGCTGTAATACAAGCGCTCTTGGCTACCCAGACTACTAATGGATACTTAATTTTGGCCGGAGAAACTTTTTATTCAAGAACCAATGTTCAATGGTAAAAAATCAATATTAATTCACGCAGTCGTTTCATTTTGTTAGGTACTTATGTGTTACGGCTAAAATTAAACGTAAAAAAAAAAAACTAAAAATTTATTGAAATAATTGGGCTTTGATTATCTTAAATTTAAATTACGCCTATATAATAGACCCTGTCCATGCGAAGCCGAGGTGGTTTGCAAGTATTAAATAAAAATTTTCGTGTTTTTGCCGCACCTAATCTAGTGCCGACCAGTAAGAACTGGTTTTGGTTATGGTTGAATCAAAAACGCCTAAGTTTAAATAAGTAGTTTAAGTTTAAGTTTTTTTGAAACTATGTATCTCCTGTCGCGAGTCAGTTAAGGTGCGTCTGGGATGGTCCGAACGCCACATTTTTATATAACAAGTAAATGAAATAAAAGTAAACTACGCTTAAACCTAAACCTAAGTTTAGTCGGCTAATCTGAAGTTTATTTTTAATACTAACATTAACCGTTATGTACATTACGTATTTTATTGTTATAATTATGCCAAGATTATTTTATAAAAAATTAGCGGTTTAAAAGCAAAAAAATTAAATTACTTATTCGCTTCATTAAGCAAGATATATCTAAGTGAAGACTTAGTAAGTAAGTACTTGCTTGAAAAGGTTTGAAGTAAAAAAAATATTAAAAATGATCTTTGGCATTTCGGAAAGGGCTATTAAGTCAAATTATACAGAAACACTACGTTATGTTTAATACATATGAATAATGTTGCGTAAATATGACATCATAGTAAATCAAATCATCTTTCGTCATCAGCCCGTTAAGTTCACTATAGGAGAGTGGCCATTTGTTTCTCTCCTATTAAGATTAAGCAATGCCTTTATCGACATGCTCGAAGTCGGGTTGACAACTGCAATAACCGACGCTTGCGATGTGTGTCTTCGTCTCGTATGTGCTGACAACTGATTTACTTACATAGAATATTAGTGGCAAGTGAGCACACAGTTCCCCCGGTGGCAAGTGCATGCTATTGACGTGTATATCTATCCTCGATTAAGAATCAAAAGTAAATGCGTTACTCGTTACCGGTAAAAAGGGTTCTGATTCTTTATACTTACTGTGTGTTTCTTTTACGCTAGTATTATATGAGAACGTGGTCCTTCTCCGGTCGAGCCTATTCCTTTTTCCTACAACCATTATATTTCAACCACGCTGAAATGCGAGTATTTGGGAATCGTGTAAAGAATATTTCAATAAGCTAAATGTGCTTACAGCACCCAGGCTATAATATATTTTGATAATTCTGAACGAAGTTTTTAAAAATAGTCATTTTTATTAATTTGATGAAGAAAAAGAGAGAAAGTATCAGAAGGATGGACTTGACTTTGCCTATTAAGCCTAAACTCGAGATTGTGAAACACTGTCCTCGTTATCAGGCAGTCTTACTTTTTAACAAGATGATTAAAAAATTAAAATAAATAAAAAAGATTAAGTGCTTTTAAAACAGACATGAAGGCACTCTTTATAGATAAAAGTATTAATAATATGGGCGAATTTCAACTGTAAAGCAGTCAGAATATTTATTTAAATAATAGTTACAAAGAAATTTATGACTTAATTTATTTTTAAATTTTTATTACAATTTATTTTGGAATATATATTTTATTTTTTAATTATGAAGGAGGTTGACATTCGCTAGTTGTTTTTTTGATTAATTATCTGACGAAAATAATATATATTATTGAATATTTGTGATGAATTTTAGTTATTAAGTAGGTACAAAAATTAGTAAGTAGTTAAGAATAGTACAATAACTTTTTATTATAGTTGATTTATTTTATCTTTTGTTTGATTCTCTACTTTATTTATTTTGTTTCACTAAGTTAAGGCTTTACAATGTATGTAATATTCGATTGCCATTTATTGTTAACGAATAAAGAGATTGATTGATTGATTGATGTTCTCCAATTATTACCATTTTAGGACAGCTCTCATCTTCGTTGGAGTAAATGTTGCAGCGGCTTGGGCCGGTGTCATGTTTTGGTATGGAATCAGCGGGTCTCAGGGCAGTGACACCAGCTCAGTTGCAGTCTTGATAGAGACCTACCGGGTGGCTGTGGAGAAGAACCTAAGTGTTGCGTGGCCCCTGCTTATATTTCTTACGTTGTTCCTTTCGGGCATCGTCACTGCGGTGAGCTGCTACTGAGTTTATTTAAAAAAAGGCAAAGTTACTGCCTATATACATCGCATTCCTGGGCCCGGCCTCCTCATATTTCTAATTTATTGTAATCTGTACATGTCTACCACTAGCTTACATTATACTAGACTAGCATATATAAAATAAAAGGGCAGTGTCTGTCTATAATATCGAATAGCTGTTTTTATTGGGGAGACGTGGTTATTTGCAATTTACATATAATTAAGACTTGAATAAAATTTTTGTCTGTCTGTCTGTCGGTCTGTCCGCCGTAACCTTCGTACGTATGGCTGAGCCGATGGTAATAAAACTGGACGGATAGCTAGAGAGCAATGCTAGAAATGAGGCTGTATTTTATCAGAAATACTTGAATTTTTTTTAAAGAAACAGAAATTTAAAAAATTATAAAATTAATGGTCTTTGAGGATTATGTTAAATCTAAATACCCAGATCCTATCCAGGTTAAGACGGGGGATCGCTGGTAACAAATAAAAACTTTCCATACGTATTTACATACATTTCTTTGGCAACACTTTTTAAATTTAGAACGTGTTCTTTATTTAATAAGCGACTACTTTTTTATGGTAGTAACAGTCCACCTATGGATACTTTGGGCCAATAAGTGATGTAGGTGCTATCTATCATGTTGTAGGAACCGAAATGCAGAATGCGTTCTCATACTTGACTAAGATATAATCATTTCATACCAGTGAAAGGGAACGCCGGTTCTCGTTTATTAAGCATGTATTATTTTATACTTTAAACATGTGGCTTAACGTGTTAAACGTATGAATCTATATTACAATAAATAGAACAGATTATTTGTTAACGTAAATAGGAATTTGAATTTTCGTCTTAATGCGGTGCTGCGAACCGCGGCTTCAAATCCTGCATATTCAACAGGTGTTTGTGAGGGCTACAAATTAGGTTCGGATTGGATATTGGTTCTAGTGTAATTTTTAAATGATATTATGATATGGAACGACCCGACGGTTTACTGAAAATCCTAGTGTAAAAAAAACAAAAGTCATACATTGCCACATAAGTTTGATATTGAATGCATATGTATTGATATTGCATATTACATGCTCTATGCTCTGCAAGCGGGTTGACAACTGGAGATTTTATTATTTTGATTTGTTTTATTTTTATTTTTATAGAATAGGGGTGATAAACTAGCACACAGTCCACCTGATGGTAAGTGGATGCTGTGGCTCGTAGACATCTACATTTAACCTCGATTAAGAATCAAAACGTTTCCAGTAAAAAAGGGTCTCCGGATCCCTACACTCGCCATACGAAACATAGCAGTACTAAGCTGCTATTTTATGATGGTATTCTGTGAGAGCATGGTCCTGCCCCAGTCGAGCTGACCCATTCCTGCTACAACTATTATATAGCTGCAGCGTGGTCCTACCACGTATAAAAGTTTTCAGGAAAATGCACATTTTTCACCTGTCGCCTCTTACGACACTAACTGGATACGGAGCTGTGCATTCCCTTACGCAACACTCTATGACATAAATGTTATGAATATAATTAAAACTATAGCTCACTCTCATTACAGCCACACACAAGTCCCCTGTTGAACATACGCCTACTCCGAGGAATGTGACAAAGCACGGGTTACGGGTTAAGCCACTTGCATCCATCGACTTCCTGCATATTTTACAAGGGCGTCACTCCATGTGGTGAGAGGCCGTCCTACACTTCGCTTACCGATACGAGGTTGTCACTCGAGAATTTCTTCTTTCCTATTATAGTGTATATAGTGAAATAATTACGATATTTTTCAGCTTACCTTGCTTTATCCCATTTACGACCATTGTCGTCGGATGGGAGGTTCTAAGTGGCGCTATGTTGCTGTTGCGAGCTCTATAGCAAGTGTAGCAGGAGCCTTAGCTGCGATGGCGGGAGGCCTGTCTGCATTTAGTGCTATAGAAGATGTGGCGATATCACTACTGATTAGTTTCGCCACTGTGATTGAGATCTCTGCATTCGTGCTTATATACGGTATATAACTAGTGTTTCATAAAACAAGCATTTAATGGTTAAATACTGGTTTAAAAATTATACAATGCTTATATATTATAAAATATTATACAATGCTAGCCTTGTCTTCCAATTTGTTACAGGAATATTTGGACTTGATTATAAAACTATTCGCAAACCTATACAAATTTATTTATTTAACTAAAACGTCGTTGGCCGTATCGATATCCTCTTTTATATCCTACATTCCCAGTAGCACTGCTACAAAGTTTTAAAGTTATAAACAAAGTTAATGTTGGAAGTTTACAAAGTTAACCTTCCGTAATTTATTATATCCTAGTATAATGTCCTCAGGGGTGATGTGATGCCACTGTGATTGAGATCTCTGCATTCGTGCTTATATACGGTATATAACTAGTGTTTCATAAAACAAGCATTTAATGGTTAAATACTGGTTTAAAAATTAAACATGACTGCGTATAAAAATAACTAATAAGACTATTAAACGATTATATAAGGACCTTATCACATCGTTATTATAACGTTTGAAAATTTAAGTGAGATAAGTTACTAAACAGCTTTAAATCGTTGTAGATCTTAAGTTGTCATTGAAATAATTCATTAAAAACCTAAGGATGAGAGAAACCTAAAGATGATTTTTATAGATGATTTTCAAAGACCTATTCAGTGATACTCCACTCGACATAGTTCGCGGTCTTTAATTATTTTCTTTTTTGCAATATGGCGTCTGGTTGTGGACAGATTATCACTTTTTAAATTTGTCATTTATTCTTGGAATTTTCAAATGACCCTAAAGTCATTATCATAAATATTTGATTTAGTTATTAGGAAAGTTCTACCACCGATTGTATAACCGAGACCTCTAAGAAAAATTTGCCAAAAATTCTTGTTTTTCTTCATCATTGCTTTTACCTTTTTATAGAATAAATTGAATATAAAACAATGATAACTAATAACTACGTTTTATTAACGTAAGAGGAAAATAGGCGGGTGTGCGAGGTCAACGAAATAGAAGCTAGAAGAGCTAGCTAGAAGACGCGTAAATTAGAGTGCACATTGTTTGAATTTCGTTATTTTAAAAACACCTTTTTTTAAAGTAAATTTTAGTAACTTAAGTAGCCTACTTTACCCGTGGAAAGTATTAATTAATTTGTAACACACTTCATCTTGAACCAGTCAATAGACAAAAACTTACTTCAAATTAGTTTATCATAAGAAATACTGCTTTTTACACTCCCTTGATTGCGCATTACGAAGTATTAAGCAAACCGTTTAGTTCGACGCGTGGTATGTCTACAACGATTGAAGACCAGTCATGTCTTACTTTACTAAACCTAGAGTCTAGTATATGCTAATGGTTATATTTTCATTTCAAAAGGCTGGAAAACACTAGTCGAAGACGTGGAATTCCTTATAGAACAAGCGATGTCGAAGTGCTGGGTGGTTGGGTGGTTTGCGGCGCCTTGCATTATCACTACGTTTGCGACGTGGTGGATAGTCTTCTTGCTGATTGATAACGCAAAGTGGACAGAGAGTCCGTGGGAAGCGGTTGTCCTTGTGTCCACAGCCGGTGTTGCTTTCTCCATATTCACCGTCTTTGCAGTCGTTTCGGTGACGAAACAGGTGCAATATGATGCAATTGCGGTAAGCGCTTTTAATCCAATTACCTAGCAATATTTATAGGGCTTAAAGTAAACTTTACAAATGTTTACCGGTTTAAACTTTCTACACTAATTGATGCCGATGTTTTAAAGCGACTGTGATTTTATTGACCTTCAGCATAATGCGAATGTAGGTATATTATGTTTCCTTGCTCAGCGAATAAAAAACAATTTTTTCCCTAAACAAAATTTAACCAAGGACAAGACCTTGTTTGCTCTTCAACTTTTATGTCAAATGTTTCCTTATTATAACGAATTAAATTGGATGCAATGTTGAGGAAGTATCCATTGTTTGTCAACAGAAGTTGCAGTCGTCTTTTAAGCCATCAAGACACTGGGGGCCAAGGGATCCCATTACGCACTATTACTGGCTGGCGCGCCGCGAAGAGTCGGAACGAAATTTGCCCAGAACGAGATATAGACGTCATTTGGGCCAGTTTTCCGGAAACGCAAGTTTTCTTCACGCGTCAGAAGCAAGCAATAAAGAAACTCCAGTTGAAAATAAGAGACGTACAAACTCTGATGACTGGGTGTACACGGTGTGTAGAAAGAAATATTTAGGAGAAATTTATCCACAGTATATGAAGGAAAATAAACAGAGATCGAAATCGTTAGATTGGTCATTGTTTTCTAATTTTAAAACTAAACATACTGCTAATGTTTTGCGTATTCCTGAGGTCGGTGTAGTTACCAGTGAATTAGCTTTGCCAGCGCAGGAAACAAATAATAACGATACTAAGCTGGTACAAGATTTTTGTACTAGATAAATTTGATTGTTTTAATCTGTTTTTAAGTCTAGTCATAACCTGGTAGCTGTAAAAAATTGTATTTTGGTTTTAAGATAATATAAAAAATATGGTATAATTATTGTATCGTTTGCTTTTATCCCTTAACTTTAATGGATACTATAAATAATGCTTTTTTCGAAACTCAAAATTTCTTTAGTTTCTCTTAATTAGTAACTAACTCATAATTAGCTTGTGCTTGACTACAATCCCACGTGGTGGTAAATGGTGATGAAGTGATGGAGAAAATGATAATTAAGAGTATAAACAACATACTTTTAAGATGGATTGAAAACCTAGTGCTGAATTCTACTAAATTTCACTAATATTCTTGATAAAAATATTTTTGTGACATAAACTTTATACTGCTAATTTTAAAAGTGAATCAGAGAAAGAAAATCAGAGACTTGGAATTATAGGAAGTTGCAAAGTGCGAGGTGGTTAATGTTTATATTTGTAAACAAAGGCATTGCGAAACTAAAGAAATGACACTATAGATTACTTGAAATTGTACTTTTGTCTTTTAATAAATGCAATACGTATACCTAGTTACAGCCTTTATATATATCACTGTTGGACTGAGATAGAAATGTGCAATGTTAAGTACCGTATATACATACCACTGCTGAGAAACTACTAAGAGAAAGTTATGGAGCATTAAGTCCGCCGCGCTGCTATGCTGCACGTTGTTGACGCACGGTTTACGGTCGAATGTTTTATAACTTAGACATGCTGGTTTCCTCGTGAATCTTTCTTAAAAACAACGCGTGGTGGGTCAGTACTTAAAATTGCAATTTTTATGGAAGATGAGGCAAACGAGCATGCGGCTCACCTGATGGTAAATGATCACCGTCGCCGATGAATATCTGCAAAACCAGATGAATCGCAGGTGCGTTGCCGGCTTTTTAGAGGGGAGTAGGCTCTTTTCAAAAAGTGATAAAATTTTTTCGCCCCGAACCCGGGTTGCTCGCGAACTGCGGAATTTACAGCGAGAGATTAGCCGCTGTTATTCCACAGTTGCTGGCAATTGAAAACCTTTAGTTGTTACTTATGTGTTTGGTTAGTCCCAGTCGATGATGGTGACGATCACAGAGTACTTTTTATAGTGATGAGCGGCATTTTCCAACTGCTGAGCAAAAGAATAAATGTTACTGTACGTTATACGCAAACGCGGAATGCCTTGATCTAAACAAAAATACTATATAAAACTAATTACGACTATGTAAAATAATGAATGTTTTTGCGCTTATTAAAAATGTTTTGTTGATGAGACCATAAGCCAGCGATAGATAGGTACTATTAATAGCGGGTTCATTCCAGTCTGCAAGAAATGGATGAAGATTATAATTTCTACGATCTTTTGCTATCGCGCTGCGCCCAAACGAACCGCAACTACTGCAGCTCTGGGCTGAATTACACCTATAAAAATTGACAAAACTCCCAAAATACCTGTGTTACCTGCTCCAAAATTGGACCGATTGTATGTCTGTGCGTTTTTCTTTAATTTTTTATATTGTTAAATTTGATTGTTAAGTGGCTTGTAACTGACATGTTTAGGTAGTAATTTTAGGAAACTCCTATTTTTACATTATCCAATATGATTGTATTGACTAAATGTAGCATTTCCGTGCTGTATTTAGTCCTATTTGTCTGTTTTCTTGAGTGCTTTTAATAATTTACACTGAAAATAAATGGCGGAAAAAAAGATTTCTAGTGGTTAGTTCGTGCCGGCGAGTGTAATTAAGAACGACCTTTTGCTAGTGTGTCCACTGCTTTGTTTCCCTTTATAGCGCCTTTTATATAATTTAAAACTATATTAATGTAAAATGCTATGAGCTATGATAACAATTTTTTTAACCGTTGAAATACTTTTTCTTCACAGTTTTAGTTATATAAAGTTGAAAGCAATCTAACATAACATATAAACTCGTGTCAGCCAGAGGGGTGGGCAGAGAACGAGCACAATCCTGAGAATCTTGACAACTCTCTAGGACATCCATATAAGCATATTTATGCATGCTCGTCGGTTCCATTCTCATCATGTCTCTTAATTTTCCCGTCTTTAATATATTAAAACATAATATTTAAAACAATCTTAATGCTTTTTAAAGAAAATTTAAAAATCTGGTGTAAAGAGATTGTATTTAATCATCAATTTGTCTGCAGTTTTTTTTTTAAATATTTTGCATACTGAACAAACATCCGTTCATCTCATTATTGTCATTACAGTCTATAAAAGTCCACCGCTGCACAAAGTCCTCCCCTAGTTCGCCTCATGGGAACGATTACTGCCTCGCTTGTTAGGCTATACTGCTTCTAATTTTAATAATAATTTTGCATATTCAAGGAAATAGATAAAACTAATCAATTAATTATAGATAAGTGTTCTTTGGTATATGTCTTATAGACAAAGGTTATAGAAAATCAGCGCTGTGGTTATTACACTGCAGCGTAATAGCTTATATACTCGTATAGCCATAGCTTCAAATAAAGATATTTCTTCTAGAGAAACCCGACTGACTCTAGAAACAACCAGACAGAACTAGACTCGGGCCGCCCAAATCATCGACGTATTTCTTGCAGCGCCGCGAAGTGATGTTGCATCTTTCTGCATAGGTATACTATCGCTTCTATAACCAAATTGTTCGGAATAATTTCAGCAGTGGAATTTACTATCGCACATCTTGGCGTTTGTGGGCTCACCAATTTGCGATTTTTTGGAAAGAATAACGGTAAAAAACGAGCACTCGGTCCACCTAATAGCAAGTGGATACTGTGACCCATATACATAAACACTCACGCCTGTCACCCAGAGGGGTAGGCAGAGACTACAGACTTCCATTTAGCACGATCCTGACATACCTCTCTCGCCTCTTCCACATCCATATACCTACGCATACATGCTCGTCGGTTAAGGGCACTCTTAATTTGGCCCATTTTTAGTATATCGCCAATTTGGTCGACAAACTTCCGCCTAGGACGTCCCTTTCAGACTCTTCCATTTACTTCTGCAACATATATTTGCTTTGTCAGTCTTTCCGCATTCATTCTTTCTACATGACCAAACCACCGAAGCATTTCTTTCTTAATCCTGGTCACTGCATCATCTTGCAAACCACACTCTTCTTTTATCACACAGTTTCTCACCCTGTCACTCAGATTCAGCCCTAACATACTCCTTAGCGACCGCATTTCTACTGCATTTATTTTACCCTCGTGTTTCTTCTGCCACACCCAACTTTCACTACCATATGTTAAAGTAGGGACTAATACAGCATTGTGAACTGTGACCCATATACATCATTATTGTTTATATACATTTATCATCCATTACAATTTAAAATGCAGATGTGTTGTCACCCTTGAGGACCAAGATGGACTGTGTCGTATCAATTTTTTACTAAAAAGGGTCTCCGGTTCTCTATACTTACCATGCGAAACACAGCAGCATTGAGCTGCTATTGCTACGCTGGTATTCTGTGAGGGCGTGGTCCTACCCCGGTCAAGCCGAACAATTCGTGATACAAACATAACACAGCTGCAGGATGGTTCTTTTGTTAACAACGTTAATTAACCGTAAGTATTCTACCTCGCACAACTTTGTGGAATCGACTACCACCAGTGATTTATCCTGAGAGATACGACTTAGAGACCTTCAAGAAAAAAGCTTATTTACTTTTAAAAGGCGGGCGCCTTACATGATCGGTCAGAACCTTTGAGGTCAGAACGAACACAGATCGAACAGTCACTTACCATCAGGTGAGCATGCCCGTTTGAACCCTCTTCTTTAATAAACTATTTATTACAGTAGTGATACAAAGACCCAAAGAAGTTCTAATTTTAATATTGTATTTTTTCCCTAGACTATACAATGTCTGTGATCACGTGCAATTTAGAGCGTTTTCCGTTTCACATACCGTCGCAAATCTCTCGAACCGATCTTCAAAATACGAGTGTAGTAGGAAATGAATCAGTCGGTCTTCAATTTGTGGCCTACGTGTCTCATTATTTGACCTCCCTATAGGAAGACGACGCCGAACTGCCATATAAGGTGGGCCATCCTTTGTTAGTATAACATCGGACGGTTATGTATTCGCGCCGCATAGCCGTGCCATCACGACTTGCCGGAGGATTCGGTAAAAAATAATTGCTCATTACTTCTTATTTCATTTTGAAGGACCATAGTGAGATAAGTACAAGTGAGTAAGGTAAAACTTATTGAAAATACAATAGTTTCGTTTAAAAGTAAAACTATTGAATGCGGTCATTTTTAAGAAGGAATGTGCTTTATTTTTTTTGTACGCAATTGTGAGCCTCGGTATTTGGTGGGTATAGCGATCCAAAAATGTATCTGAAGCCTACATTGACATCATTAGAGATGATTGCCTCGTTGGGGGTTGATTTCGAATCCTGGGTGGGGCCGGAAATCAGTCATTAAGTTTTCTGTCAAGATATTTTCTTTAGCTCCCGGGGTCAAGAAGTTGGCGGTGTTTTACACACGTGCTTTGAAAAGCAAGTAAAGCCGCTGGTCCTGCGCCAGATATCTCTCTCCGGTAATGTCGGATTTTGAGAGTGAGAGAGTAGAGAATGTACTTGTGCTTGCACGCTCACACTCACGGGCACTATAATCTAGTCTTGTGCAGATTAGCAATCTACGTTGAGATTGGCCGCCGGGCCCAAGATTCGGCCTGGAGGACATTATTAGGTATTATTTCATTTCGAATCATTTGTTTTGGTCTGCTGTTGGCTATACTAATCCCTCCTTTCCAAGGAAACATCATTGTTTACCAAGGCTCTGCAAGCCTATTCGCCAACTTTGTTGATATAAAATGATTGTTACTTTGTAGTACATTACGTCGTTTGTTTTATGATTCATGTTATTAATAAAAAAAAGCTTTAAAGCATACGACGCAATGGACTGCAAAGTGACTATCACTTCAATGTCAACAAAGTTGGCGCATACGTCTACTGCTCTTAACTTC